TTTTTGACCTAGAAAAGGCTTACGACACCACTTGGCGTTATCATATCCTATCTCAACTTCATTCTTTTGGCCTTCGTGGTCATCTCCCTCTCTTTCTCCGCAGCTTCCTCTCTCGTCGTTCCTTTCGGGTGCGCCTTGGTACCGCTCTCTCTCCCTCTTTTCAGCAATACGAAGGTGTGCCCCAGGGTAGTGTTCTGAGCACTACTCTTTTTCTGGTTGCCCTCAATGGTCTTCTTTCCTCTCTTCCTTCTGGTGTCTTCTCCGCTCTCTATGTCGATGATCTTACCCTTTGTTGTCAGGGTGATGATTCGCCTCTCCTTCAACGCCGGCTTCAACCTGCGATTGATGCCGTGTCGTCTTGGGCCACAGGTCATGGCTTCAAGTTCTCTACTTCTAAGACTTGTGCCATGACTTTTACGCGGAAACGGGTTGTTCTTCGTCCCTCTTTGTCACTTTATGGTCATCCCCTTGAATACAAAGATTCCGCGAAGCTTTTGGGGTTATTCCTTGACACTCGTTTGTCTTGGTCTCCCCATATCTCTTACCTCCGTGTTGAGTGCTCTAAGTCCCTTACCCTCCTTCGGGTCTTGTCCCATACTTCTTGGGGGGCAGATAGGCGCACTCTCCTTGCTTTACATTCCTCTCTCGTCCTGTCTAAGCTCGATTATGGTTGCCCTGCTTACTCGTCTGCTTCTCCTTCTACTTTTCGCCGTCTTGATGCTTTGCACCATACTGGGTTGCGCCTCAGTTCTGGTGCCTTTCGTTCGACTCCCGTCCTTAGCTTGTATGTTGACACTGGCTTCCTGTCTCTCCAGGACCGCCGTGATCGCTACTGTCTTCGCTATCTTGCGCGTTCCTTGCAACATCCTTCCTCTCGTCTCTGTCGTGCTTTAACTTTTACCCCACCTGCGGTTCCTGTTCCTCTTCACCACCTCCCTCTTTCTGTCCGGTTATCTCGCCTGCAGGATTCTCTTTCCGTTCGTATTTCTGATGTTTCTCCTCGTGTTGTTCCTTCTTTGCCCCCGTGGAGGGTCCCTCTTCCGCGGTTTTGTACATCCTTGACTCGTATCACTAAAGCTTTTACCCCTCCTACAGTTCTAAAACGCCTTTTCCTCGAGCACTTTTCTTCTCACTCCCGCTCCGTTTCTGTCTTCACCGATGGGTCTAAGTCAGCGGACGGTGTTGGCTACTCTGTTGTTTTTCCTGATCGCACTTATATGTGTCGCTTGCCTCCGGAGACTAGCATCTTTACAGCGGAACTTTATGCTATTCTCTATGCTCTTCGTCTCCTGCTTTCTCGTTGTCAGTCTTCCTTTGTGGTTGTTGTTGACTCTCGTAGTGCCCTCATGGCTCTCGGGTGCTTTAATCCAGTTCATCCGGTAGTTGTCGAGATCCAGCATTGGCTGTTTCTCGTTCACAGTAAATTTAAGTCGGTTGAGTTTTGTTGGGTTCCCAGCCATATTGGCGTGTCTTTAAATGAGCGTGCGGATGCTGCCGCTAAGGAAGCTGTCCGCTCTTGTCCCATCTCTCGTAAAGGCATTCCGTATTCCGACTTTTACCCGGTTATCCATTCCTCAGTCCTTACCCGTTGGCAGGCTTCTTGGTTGTCTGTTACTGGTAACAAGCTACGTACTCTTAAATGTTGTTTCCTCGTGGCCGTCCTCCTTCCACCGTAACCGGCGGTGGGAAACAGCTCTAGCGAGGTTGCGTATTGGCCATACTCGCTTAACCCATGGTCACTTGATGGAGCGCCGCCCTGCTCCTTATTGTCCTAGTTGCATTGTCCCTCTTACGGTCGTGCATGTCCTTCTTGAATGTCCTGACTTCCAGGACGAGCGTGTGTCTTGCTTTCCGACCGCCCCTCGCGGTCACCTGTCCCTCGATAGAATTCTTGGTGACTCGGATACTTTTGATATCGTTCGCCTTATGCGTTTTTGCTCTCGTATTGGCATCCTTGGTGATATTTAGCGCCCTCTGATTATTTTGCGTATTTGATGGTGCTACATAGCCTTCCCGGTTTGGTGCCTTCTTTTGATAATTACTTACTTACTTGTAAGGGCCAATACGCCTTCTGCAGTTCCTTTATTGTGATATTCTTATGAAGGCTGGCAATCCAATTTGGTCAGCTGTAAAGACACTAAGACCCCCAGATCTGATGGTAAGAGTACTTATTTCCACAGAGTCAAGTGGAAGTTTAATGATGATTTTCCAGCATGAACTTCAGAAGCGTGTGTTGCTTACTTAGTTCAGTGCTGCTGGGGGACGAAGGTGAACTTGCCTCACCTCAGAAGGTGAGAAACCTTAGAGAGAGAGAGAAACCCCTTGTGAGAAGGTTGAAGGCATCCGGAATAGCAATTTTTTCCCCTCTAGTGTTTTCTTTATATTCAATTCATTGGTGTGCAAAAGCTGAACTGGATTTTAATTATATAATATTATCATGTGTAATTGAATATTCTTTTTTTCCAGGGTTTTCCCTATAGTACTTGGAATGGGAAGAACGTTGGACAAGGACTTTGTACTAAGTGGCTACTTAATTCCTAAAGGGGTGTGTTGCCTTCACTGTAATAAAGTGAACGTTCGCTTCATTTCCATATGAATATTGTGAAACATTGCCCTAAAAGGTCACTTTACATCAGCGTATAATAATGCATGTGTTATCTGTTTCATTAACTCGACACGTTTCTGGCGGCGCCCAGTGGATGGTGGCTATGCTCGGCATGCTGATGGGCTGGGACGAGTCCTTGTTCCCGCGGGCAAAGGAGTTTATTCCTGAGCGTTGGTTGAGGCACAAGCCCCTTGGCCCCATCCATCCCTATGCCACCCTGCCCTTTGGTGCTGGTACCAGGATGTGTATTGGTCGCCGCATTGCTGAGCAAAAAATGTTCACTTTTATCGCGAGGGTAAGTCATCCAGTAGTGTCTCGCTAAAGTAAGTCGTCCAGTTGTGTCTCGCTAGAATTAGTCACCCAAAAATGTTTCTCTGCGCCAAGTAATCCAAGAATGGAGAACTCTTTCAATAAGACATGGAGTAATCGTTTTCGAGAAGACAAACACAGAACAACAAAAATAATTTGTTGTATTTAAGTGTTATCTATTGAAAGAAATGTTTTCGTTTTCTGTTACTGGCACTTGGAAAGTGTATTTTGTGATAGACTAAAGAAATATATTTATATTACAAAGTGAATAAGATTATAATTTAATAATTCATTGTGTCGGGGGACACGTAACCATTGTATATATACATGTTAGGCTTATATCGAGGTCCCCCCCCCCAAGGGTGGGGGGGGGGGGTACTTCGACCCTCCCTAGGATGCAGCCCCACAACAAGCTGATTAACCTATTTACAGTAGGTGAACAGGGAAATTATGGAATTGGAAACGCAGCTAATCATTTCCCTTCCGTTCGGAATCCGAACCCGGAATTAAAGATTTAGTCGAGAGCGAATCCGACTGTACTTCCGGGACCCTATAAATAATGATCTGCTATTTTAAAGTCTCGTGGCTTTTGTGAGGAAGATCTGCTAATTATCTGTTATGTCGAAATATACCCTAAAAATTGGGTTTGTTTTCCTGGTGAATCAGCCATGCTCCGTAGATCCAATTTGAAGAATTGAGTGGTTCTCTTTGTTGACTCGAAGAGAAGAAATAGCATTTACAAATATTAGTTTCCTTAAAAGAATGATTGTTTGATTAATAAATGTTATTCCTGTACAGGCCATGCAACGCTTCACTGTTGGTTATGAGTATGAAGACCTGGAACTCGTCAGTCGCCTCGTGTTCATTCCGTCACGGCCTCTCAAGTTCACCTTCACTCAGAGGAACTGATAGTGACCCTTGGATGACCCACAACACACATGCATATGACAGTATTGACTACTGTGAGTGACGAGTATTTATCAATAAAGAAAACTGTGGCTATCATAACTGAGATTCTGTACTTATTTTCCTTTAAGATAAATTACAAACTACATTGAAACACTACTATACACATCCCAGTGCTCTGTAAATCTTGATAATTCAATTATTGGTGATACAATTAGCAATGATACACTTATTGGTGGTACAATTAGTGAGATACAATCATTGGTGGTATAATTATTGAAGTGTCTTCTGTGTTGGCATCGTTATATTCCGGTCTTGTCCTTAATAATTATTGATATATTCATTAATGTGTATATCAACCATCATCGACTATGCAGCGGGTTGACCGCTGGATGTAATGAACTTGAGTCGAGGACGGGTTGTTTACAGAGTTGTAATTCGAACAGAGGTTGTCAACGAAGCACTGTTCGAGAAATATTCGAAAGTCCTCACTTGTGAGAGTCGTGTGTAAGACATTTTTCTATTAATAAACAGGGGGTTTGGCGACTGGATTAACAAGCTTTTGGCCTTTGTTGATTAGGGCAGGCTGTGATGAGGGCAGGCTGTGATGAGGGCAGGCTGTGATGAGGGCAGGCTGTGATGAGGGCAGGCTGTGATGAGGGCAGGCTGTGATGAGGGCAGGCTGTGATGAGGGCAGGCTGTGATGATTCAGGCAAGCATCTCGGCACTATAGTGTGTAAAGATTAATGTAAATGTATACAGGAATCCATCGTTGACTTGCTTTATTAATTGTGTATTGTGTATAGACGCTGCGAAGTCCGGAGTACACTTAAGATATCAACGAATTAAAGTTGGTATTAAGTTATATTAAGTTATAATGTATTGAAGTTATATCAACGGTGTTGAGCTTAAGGCCTACCAACGGTGGGAGGGTTACTAAGGTAAATTCATTAATATACCGAACAACCAAGAAGTATACTTTATAACCGAGAATAATTCAGGTTTGCATCTGTTTAGTGTCGTCATAAAGTGTAAGTTTGAGCATTATTATAAATAGTTTACCTCCGTAGTCATCAGCAAATGTTTCTCTAAAAAGATTAAATCAAAACATGTTGTAGTCTTTTGCTAATTATAATAAATATTAAAGTTATTTGTGAGAAATAAATTAGAAAATTTTGCCTTCATTGATAAACTTTATTCAACAGAAATATAATACATGTAAATATCAATATCTAAAGCATAATAAAATTGAAGTTCATAATGGCTTAGTACAACAAATCAAAATTAATTTTGTACAGTAGGATTCAAACTTGTATTAAACTTCATCGCTAACTAACCTAACCAGTTGTGGCTTCGGACAAAGACGCTCTATAAGAGGCGTTGACAGGACTAGTTAGACACGGGTCTCTGGAGGTCCTCTAGTGATACTGGAGAGGAACGCTGGCATCTTAAGAACACAACTTTCACTTCTTCACAAGACGTTATTTACAAGTTCTCTGTGGCTCTCCTCTTCCGGTCGAACGTGTGACTGAAACCAAGTCCAAAACTGTTGGACCTGTTGGAAATAGTTTTGCTTTAACATTTAAATGAGAAATAATAATTAATGAAGGTTCTTCACGAGACAAACTCTGAGCTGCGATGAAAATATCAAATATAATCTTACGAGGAAATGCAGACTTTATAACACTTATAAACTGTATATGAATACATGACAGAATCTATAGTAATGACACTGGCGGATGTTGTAATGGGCATTTGCACATGTTTACAGTGAAGGGTGTAACAGGTGTTAACAGCGAAGTGTGACGAGAACAGCTGGAAGAGAGGCCTACCTGCCGCCTCCACCCCGGGAGTGTTGAACACCGGCGGTGAAGGAGGTCTGTCTGTTGGGCTTATACACGTAACTCAAACTGGCTCCCACGTTCCTCTCGCTCCCAAGGCTGCATCATGGTATACAAATTACTACATTATCTGTGCTACTGTATAATTTATTGTACAGAATCTTTGTTTATATGATCTATATATAGATAAATATTTATAAAAAATATACTGTACTAAATTAACGAAGATGAATTTGTCCATTTTACTGTTTATATATTTCAACTTTGAGTTAAAATACTGAGCCAAAGTGTACCAACAGTTTACAAAAACAATGATAAACAGTGGAATATGGTTGTCTTACCCGGGAACTTTGGTGCGGTCAACACTGAGGCCGCCTTGGATTGTGTGTGTCGAAGGTGTGACCCAAGTTGATGGTAGCGCTGTCTCGCAGAGCCCTACAACACATGCAACATATCATACGTTATAGTCCCCTGACCCTTGAAATACACTGAACACACCCCATGTTCCGTGGAACATGAGATATAGTTCGTGGAACACATCCCATGTTCCACGACCCCTTCAACATACAGAACAATTCCCTTACATATCTTGTCCCTTATACTAGTAGGAGGTACCCAGTTGCATCATTTAAGTATAGGGTGCTCGTGGAATGCAAATCTGCTATAAGAACATTCATTTTGCATATCAATATCTGATTTTTTATAATTATGTACACATAATGTAACTGTATGGACTCCAAGGCCACTATTTCATTTACGCAGATTTCAGTGGGTTCCCCATTTGAGCCCTGATCCCGTAAAGGGGAGCAATAGGGCCAACCCTGACCCCTCTGTGTTGGCCAATCCCTTCCACTTAACCATGTAACTGAGTTACTTGGTAACTGGTAGGGTTACATGGTAACTGATAGGGGTTACATGGTAACTGGTAGGGTTACATGGTAACTGATAGGGGTTACATGGTAACTGGTAGGGTTACATAGTAAGCTACCAGGTGAGTTTAGCACCAAGCGACTGGCCTCCAACCTAGGACAGACTGTCAAAAAGAAATCTTTTATTGATGTAGATATAAAAGACTTCTCTCCAAAACCCTTATTGTTTCTATATAAGCAGTGAGCCGGTGTGTGATCTCCAATTCGTTACACAAGTATAATATATTAAGCTGTGAGGAGAGTCCACTTACCCACCACCCAGGCGTTCAGTGTTGGCGGATCCGGATACTGTGGTCTGTCGCTTTCTTCGTTCATGACTCAAACCATCTTCACCAGAGTTTAGGGACGGTTCTCGTCCCTCGACTTGCACCAAATATGAATCAAGCTCCTCGTCCGACGTGTAAATTGGCGCCAGATTGGTATCTTGTGTTGGTGTGTTGGTGAGCTGCAGTGACGAGCCCTGGAGGGGGCTGCCTGTCACCACTGCTAGGAGCAGGGCGCTCACTGTGAATGTTGTCTGCATGTTAAACTCTTGCTGAGGACAGTGGTGATGGACTCTCGGCTCCAGCAGGTTATATACTCCTGGACAAATTGTGGGAAATACCCCTCGACCAACAACAGCAAAATGATTTGTTGTCATTGTCTGATCGTGTCATTGACTGTGAAACGTAACAATCTGTCCTGCTTGGAGTTCCCGTCACTATTTTCCCAGAATTATTGAAACGTTCCCTCTGCTGAAGGAAAAAAAATATTTTAAGATTTTTTGGAAGGCAATCATCGACTTGTATATATTTATTAATTTCATAGTATATTATCATTGTACATGTTTATGTAAAATGTTAAGAGTGTATGGAAGCATTATAACCTTGACTACGATAATGCGTATATTTCTAGATATTTTGAGAGGCAATCATCAGCTTATATCTCTCTATTCATGTCGAAGTACATTGCAAGTAATATAAGTTTGTAGACAATTTTGAATATAAATAAGGGGAGAAGGAAGTAATTAAGGAATCTACATGACAGCATTTTAACTTAGACTAATAATGGCGAAGGAAACAGGCTGGCAATAGTAAGTTATTTAACAAATAATACAATTCAAGTCAAATAACTCCTCAGATCCAGATGAAGTATTTGACAGTATTAGGGTATTTGAAGTATTAGGGTTCTCTAAAAATGGAAAAAAAAGACCCGAGAGAGCCCTTGTCTTGCATATTCATTAGACTCGGGCAAGTTATCAGAGTTGTGGAAGGATGTAAGGGTGATTCATTCTCGATTTTTGACAAGGATGAGAGATCACTTTCATCTAATTTGTCGTCCAATTAACTTAATGTTTATTCTGAAGAAACTTGCTTTAACGATAACTGCAAAAGCCAATTGTTTACATTTTGAGAAACACAGATCAATGGGGGATTCACAACACGGCTTTCCAAAGAGTCGTTCATGTTTAACCAACTTTGACTCGTCTCTAGTAGATTTCAAGCACTTGAGATGGAAAGAATTGTGATTACTACCATCTCCACCCACTATCACCACCCACGGGACCAAAGAGCCCGCAAACCCCAGCAAACACACCTAGATGAGTACGTACACAGACAGACACAGACAGACAGACATAACCAACACACACACACACACACACACACACAGAACCAACACACACACAGAACCAACACACACACACACACACACACACACACTATACCTACACAGACCCTACACACACACTATACCTACACACACACACACACACACACACACACACACACACACACACACACACACACACACACACACACACACACACACACACACACTATACCTACACAGACCCTACACACACGCTATACCTACACAGACCCTACACACCCACACACTTACACTATACCTACACAGACCCTACACACACACACACACACACACACACACACACACACACACACACACACACACACACTATACCTACACAGACCCTACACACACACAATACCTACACACACACACACACACACACACACTATATCAACACAGACCCTACACACACACACTGTACCTACACAGACCCTACACACACACACACTATACCTACACAGACCCTACACACACACACACTGCCGACACACTCACACAAGTGTACATAAATGAGTTCCAATACTCACCAACACGTGCAATATCTGCTGTTGCGTGTCACGTCAAACATTACTTCCGATACAGTCAGTAACTATTTGATTGTTCCTTGTTGCACACTTCAGCTTACTGTGGCATCATTATCCATAGATCTACTTGATAAATATATAAATAATTGCTACTAAATGATTGTATGCACTTTATGGTTTACCCCAGAAACTGTTGTGTTGTCACTGTCATGTCACAGTGACTACATCTCTGCGTCTATGACAGAACTTGTCCTGAAGGTGCAGCTGGCTTGTCATTCTCAGTGTCAGTGTGAACACGTTCTCCTCAACCAACTGCTTAAGCGTTCACTTCCCTGCGCGTTCTCGGTGTGAAGATGTCAGGAAAATATGTATAAGATGAACATGAATATTTCTTGAGGGCGAGTAATCCCTCCAGACATTGATTCGTTAAATTTGTTTTATCAAGAATTGAAGATGAATAATTTACATTTAGAATCTCGGGTCTGGTGAGAATGTGAAGATGCTGCATGTCCTCGTGAATGTGAAGATGCTGCATGTCCTCGTGAATATGGAGATGCTGCATGTCCTCGTGAATGTGGAGATGCTGCATGTCCTCGTGAATGTGGAGATGCTGCATGTCCTCGTGAATGTGGAGATGCTGCATGTCCTCGTGAATGTGAAGATGCTGCATGTCCTCTGTTGTGTGAGTTGCTTGAGACAGTAACTTGGTGTGAGACTGTCAGCTTGAGACAGTGACTTGGTGAGAGACTGTCAGCTTGAGACAGTAACCTGGTGTGAGACTGTCAGCTTGAGACAGTGACCTGGTGTGGGACTGTCAGCTTGAGACAGTGACCTGGTGTGGGACTGTCAACTTGAGACAGTGACCTGGTGTGAGACTGTCAGCTTGAGACAGTGACTTGGTGAGAGACTGTCAGCTTGAGACAGTAACTTGGTGTGAGACTGTCAGCTTGAGACAGTAACTTAGTGTGGGACTGTCAGCTTGAGACAGTGACCTGGTGTGGGACTGTCAGCTTGAGACAGTGACCTGGTGTGGGACTGTCAGCTTGAGACAGTGACCTGGTGCGAGACTGTCAGCTTGAGACAGTGACCTGGTGTGAGACTGTCAGCTTGAGACAGTGACCTGGTGTGAGACTGTCAACTTGAGACAGTGACCTGGTGTGAGACTGTCAGCTTGAGACAGTGACCTGGTGTGAGACTGTCAGCTTGAGACAGTAACTTAGTGTGGGACTGTCAGCTTGAGACAGTGACCTGGTGTGAGACTGTCAGCTTGAGACAGTGACCTGGTGTGAGACTGTCAGCTTGAGACAGTGACCTGGTGTGAGACTGTCAGCTTGAGACAGTGACCTGGTGTGAGACTGTCAGCTTGAGACAGTGACCTGGTGTGAGACTGTCAGCTTGAGACAGTGACCTGGTGTGAGACTGTCAGCTTGAGACAGTGACCTGGTGTGAGACTGTCAACTTGAGACAGTGACCTGGTGTGAGACTGTCAGCTTGAGACAGTGACCTGGTGTGAGACTGTCAGCTTGAGACAGTAACTTAGTGTGGGACTGTCAGCTTGAGACAGTGACCTGGTGTGGGACTGTCAGCTTGAGACAGTGACCTGGTGTGAGACTGTCAGCTTGAGACAGTGACCTGGTGTGAGACTGTCAGCTTGAGACAGTAACTTAGTGTGGGACTGTCAGCTTGAGACAGTGACCTGGTGTGGGACTGTCAGCTTGAGACAGTGACCTGGTGTGAGACTGTCAGCTTGAGACAGTGGCCTGGTGTGAGACTGTCAGCTTGAGACAGTAACTTAGTGTGGGACTGTCAGCTTGAGACAGTGACCTGGTGTGAGACTGTCAGCTTGAGACAGTGACCTGGTGTGAGACTGTCAGCTTGAGACAGTGACCTGGTGTGAGACTGTCAGCTTGAGACAGTGACCTGGTGTGAGACTGTCAGCTTGAGACAGTGACCTGGTGTGAGACTGTCAGCTTGAGACAGTGACATGGTGTGAGACTGTCAGCTTGAGACAGTAACTTAGTGTGGGACTGTCAGCTTGAGACAGTGACCTGGTGTGGGACGGTCAGCTTGAGACAGTGACCTGGTGTGAGACTGTCAGCTTGAGACAGTGACCTGGTGTGAGACTGTCAGCTTGAGACAGTAACTTAGTGTGGGACTGTCAGCTTGAGACAGTGACCTGGTGTGGGACTGTCAGCTTGAGACAGTGACCTGGTGTGGGACTGTCAGCTTGAGACAGTGACCTGGTGTGAGACTGTCAGCTTGAGACAGTGATCTGGCGAGAGACTGTCAGCTTGAGACAGTGAACT